GAACCTTCAGTGCAGCAGAAATTTTTTTGTAGTCTTCCCCAGATCTGTGCCTTGCAATAATGCTGCCTCTGAGCTCTGCAGGCAGTTCACCTCATGGCTTTTGCTCTGGTACGGTATGCATTGTCAGCTGTGAGGCCTTCTATACAGAGGTGTGTGCTTTTCCAAATCATATCCAATCAATTTAATTTACTACAAGTGAACTCCAGTCAAGGTGTAGAAACAGCTCAGCAATGATCAAGAGAAATGGAAGGCACCTGAGCTAAATTTCAAGTGTTGTTGCAAAGGGTTTGAATACATATGCCAATGTGATATTTCAGTTTTTCCTTTTTAATAAATTTACAGACATTTCTAAAATTATGTTACAGCTCAGCAATGATCAAGAGAAATGGAAGGCACCTGAGCTAAATTTCAAGTGTTGTTGCAAAGGGTTTGAATACATATGCCAATGTGATATTTCAGTTTTTCCTTTTTAATAAATTTACAGACATTTCTAAAATTATGTTTTCATTTTGTCATTATGGGGTACTGAGTGTAGATTAATGAGAAAAAAAATGAATTTGAATGATTGTAGTATCAGGCTGCAACATAACAAAATTGAAAAAAGTGAAGGGTCTGAATACTTTCTGAATGCACTGTACAGGTACACTTTCAGGATCTATACTATTTGAAAAGTGTATCATCATATCTTTTTCTCTCCTCCTGTCCAAAACAGTCAAACATGACTTTTACTAGAGATCTGTCTCTTATGGGAACATTTTGTCTTATATTAACAAATAAGAAGCAAATAATTTGTAAACAATGCTAAAAGAAATATTGAACTGTGTAAAACTTGGGTGCAATAATGTAGTTATTGAACAGTTTCGATAATATTCTCAAAGCACTGTTGTTTTTTTTAATAGTAATGGTAATAGAATTTTTTTTGTCTAGGAGCTTTACACATCTGAATTTAAAACAATTATTTAACAGCATTTTAGAATCATATGCCCCCACAAAGTGACATACAATTAATCAAAAAGACAAGAAACAAATTTTAAAAATCACCATATTCACAGACTTGATGGGAGTTCTCAATTTCAAGTTAAATGCTGTATTTGTCAGAGTTCTGTTACTGTTAGGAAGTACCCAATTAATTTGTAGAAATTATCTGCATAGGAGACCAGGAAGGGAGAAAATGAAATCATACAACAATCTCCAAAGGATGGTCTGAGAATGAGTAATTAGAAGAAAAGATTTCTCTTCTTGGGAGATGTCACTGTACAAGCATAAGAATATGACAAGATACAGGTGGTTTTGGTTAAAAATCACTCATTCAGTGACTGAACTTACGACAGCACTGAACAATTGATACTTACAACTGGTCTTCAAAATTACAATCACAACACCTCGACAACAAGCCCGGATTTCTGACCATCGCAGCATCACATGATCACCATTTGCAACCTTCCCTGTTGGCTTAGCACAAGCAAAGTCAATGGGGAAGCCGGCAGGAAGTCATAAGTCATGGTCACATGAGGTCCTTGCTTTACTATCCGCATGGTCCTTGCTTAATGACAGTAACTGGGGACTGCCAGAACTGCCATTGCTAAGCAGCACAGTCATGTGATATTACACTTTATGACCACATCACTTAGCGATGGAAATCTTGGTCCCAATTACCACTGTTAAGTGAGGACTGCCTGTATCAATTCTGTAATGTCTCTCCTGAGCTCTCCAATACTATCAGCAATTTAATGTGGCTCTGTAACTTATGTAGAGTGAAGAAATATTTCCTAACTGAGAAGTCCTTGTCTCTGGAGGAAGCCTGACCATACTGAACTAGAAGGTTATCAAGGTTTTGCTCTATTCCTCTAGAATGGCAAGTTGCAAGTCAATAAGAAACAAATATTGGAACTCCCAATGAAAAGAATCTACTTTTTCTTTACAACAATATGACTGGATTTAATGATGAGGGTTCCAGAAGGCTTGTTTTCAAACATACTCGGTCCCAGTTATAATGCAGACCACTATAATTTGTATCAGGTGCAATTTCCTGACTTGTCTTCAAAGACAGGACAGTATTAAGTAGGCTGCAGTAATCCTGAAATAGCAGGCTGATATCTTGCAGTATAGAATTGATAAATAGATGAATAATGTTTTAAAGGAACTTTATGTGATCTAACTTCAGTTTATGTAAACTTGTAGGGTGCTGATATTTTTGCAGCAAAAATAAACATTGAAGTACAGTGGGTATCTGAATTAGCCATAGCTGCTGTTGAAAAAAATGGTGGTGTTATTACTACAGCTTTTTATGATCCAAGGAGTTTGGGTAAGAATTTTCAGTACTTTTTCATGTCCTTTGTTTTGTCAAATACTGTTTAAATACACCAGTCTGCCCTTATTTAAAAACAAAAACTTTGCAACAATAAATTAAACAGATACTTTTCCCCAGATTTAATCTGAATGTTAGTTTTCTAGTCTTCCCCCTATAAGTATCATTATAGCAGAAGAAGGTTTATTTTAATAGTACAATATGCAGGATGTAAGCAAATAAACTTTGTATTTTGTGATCTACCCCTGTTCTAAAGATGGGATTGTTAATTCTAAAGTAATTAATATTTTATCTCTTTACTCCATTTTTTAATACATAGAGGTTCTTTGCAAGCCAGTGCCATTTTTTCAGAGAGGCAAACCTATTCCAAGGAGAATGCTTCCTCCTGAAGATCTTGTCCATTACTATACAGATCCTACAAACCGAGGCTACCTGGCCGATCCTTCAAAAGTTGCTGAAGCAAGGATGGAACTTTCCAAAAAATATGGTTATATCTTACCAGATATTACAAAGGATGAACTCTTCCAAATGCTGAGTGCTCGGAAGGACCCTAGGCAGATTTTCTTTGGCCTTGCTCCAGGCTGGATAGTAAATATGTCAGAAAAGAAGATTTTGAAACCAACAGATGAGAGGTTGCTGAAATATTACAGCTCATGAATACTGAAACTGGAAATACCATAGTGTTTATATGTAATATATCATTGTTTTCTTTAAAAATGAACTAGTTGTAATAATAATGCTATAATAAAATATGAACATTTTTTTCTGCATTAAATGGTGTTCATTTTCCTTATGTCAGATGCAGTTTTTAGTATGACTGATCCTTAGTGTTCAGACTTATTCTGTCCCATCCTCTAAATCGTTTATTGCGTATTTCTTGGTTTTTTCCCTGCACTGTTTTCTTCCAGGAATTCAGTAAATATGTCTTTCATGCTCTTTTAACTTGGGGATCTGGATGGGTGGCAAAGCTTATGTAATGGTTATGCTAATTTTTGTTATTGGTTCTATTTTTTTGTTGTTGTTGTTCCTCAGCTGCTGAATATGTGTGTGTTGTTTTTATAGTTACGTGTTTTAATTTTTAATTTTTTTTTTTTACTGTTGTTAGCTGCCCAGAGTCATGAATTTGAGATAGGCAGATGTATAAATTGAACGAATACTTTTGGCATCAGATAATGGCATCTTAAATGTTTAAAGAAGAATTTAAAGTCCTGTAATGATTTTGTTTAATATACATCTGGTATAATTTAAAAAATAAAGTTTATATTACACAAAGATATTTACCTAACAAATGTTGCATCTTGACATTTTACTTTAAAGCACCAAAGCTTGCTTTCTCAAGCAAGAAAACATGTTTGTGCTGTTCCATCTCCCTCTACTGGCTCACTTAGTGTAGCATTTTGATCCCCATTTCAGGTTCAGTAACTCCTTTACAGGTAACAAACCTTCTGTTTATGCCAAGAAACCGAAGAAATAACCTTGGTTTGGAAAGTGCATGTTATTATCAATGTATATTTATTAGTATACTCATAGTATACTAATAAATATACATTGAGTATATTCATAGTATACTTTTCATAGCTGATTCTCAAAGCAAATTAAAAAGAAGTGAGCTTTAAGGGACTTCTGCTATCTAGAAGCTCCAAAGGCACTACAAGTATATTTACTGGGAGAACTGTTAGTTTTGCCATCATTCCCTTCAAAAACGCAAACAGTTTTTTGGTCGCAGATTATTTACTTTTCATATGTGCCAATTTTTGTGGGTGTGAGTATGTAATAATACCTTTTGTAGGTGGCTATACAAATATATGACTATTAGAGATTAAAATATGGTGGGATATCAGGTACTAGAAGTAAATTGATTTATGCATCCCTATTTTTTGTTCATTACATATTTTTAGACTGAGTGATGTCAAATTGCAATACTGATTGGTAAAGAGTCAGCTGTATAGATTTTGTCACTTCCATCCTATATTCTGCAGGTTTCTTTAGGGAGATTACTTTAGCTAAAAATAAAAGCCTTCAATGTAATTAGTCCATAATATAGTTCATTTTAGAGCATCCTGTCCTGTATCCTGATAATATTAGATTAACAAGTTATACCTGTTTTTGCAGGCCTGATGGTTTAATTTGGGAGAAAACGAGGGGAAAATATAATTGCTTTCCCTTATTTGGGCAGCACAACACTTCTTTTTAATGAGTCAACTCATAATTGCATTCTATAATTTGAGACATTGGACAGGAAAGCTAATTAACTAGTAGTAAAAGAGGAAGTTACTCATCCAATGAAGTTTAGGCAAAAGTGTGTGTGTGTGTGTGAGAAATATACATGCATATGCTATAACAAGACTTATTTCCACTCAGTTCTATGTATGATGAGCAATTTGCTGAATGTGTTTAAGGATACTGTACACCATATTCTTAAATATAAAATGTACTTCGTGTTGTATTCTAAATAAACTTCAGGTGAAAAGGAAACCCTGATAAAATGATAATGGGGAAAGAATGAAAACAGGAAACAGATGGCTAGTGACGTGCACTGATTGGATAGTACATATTTGTCAAGCACCCTGGTAGTCACAAGACAGCTGTATCCTGATACCAATATTGTAATGCTATCAATACTTAAGAGCCAAAACTGCCATGTTCTGCTAAATCTGGTCTTTTTATTTTAGAAAGGTAATTATGATCAGCTAAAACTAGAAAGGAGCAAAAATGGCAATACTCTATATTTAAAAAAAGAAAAACTGCAACATTAATTACTTTTCAAAATCCTCCCTTCAAATACTTACCAGAACTTTATAACAGCATTCCTTATTTTACATACTAGTTTTAAATTTCACATGGCTATAGAGAATTTTTTACTCATTAGCCTATCAAAAGCTCTTGAGTTAGCAGATCTCTATCACTGTCCATTCCCCAATGTAGTTTTTCATATGTTGTTGACTTAATACGAGCCAACCAACTCCTCAAATCAAAAGCTAAATCTGTTTTTCACAGTTCCAAGATGAATTGTTGCTTCAGTTTTCCTGTTTTGTTGCATATGCAGAAATCTAACAGTACCATAACAGGAAAGCCACTTACTAAACTTGCTGCAGGATAAAGGGCTTCATTTCAGCCAATGTATATTGAAGTAATGCTTGCAATATAATGAAACTTTTTTTCTTGAGGATGAGGATTGACCCTGGGCCAAAAAACTAACTCAAAAGTGAAGACTATGGAATAAATATTATAGAAATATTTCTGTTTCCATTGAGGTAAGTTTTATTACGTTGGTGTTATACATGCAAACATAAATGGTTTGATCATTGGGCATAGTCAAGACGTTTAGAAGGGTTGATAAGTCACTGCGAAAGATGTATAGATTGTATTGTCTTCCCAGCTGTCTTGTACTCATTCCAAAGTTGAACGAGATGAACATAGAAAGATGGTTTTTCTTTAGGTTTGTTTTTCAGAAAACATTATTATGAAAATATAATTGCTATAATAATATAAAGAGAATTTTGTTTTTGTTTTTTCAAATCTCAGCTTTTCAATTCTATTAATGGCTGTTGAAATTTATTTTGGAAGTGTTTTGTAATATCACTTCATAATCAGGAAATGTAGGCAAGAAAGTATTAAAGATGACCATCAAACGTAGCAAAGAATGGATGAATTACTCCAATGAATGACTTCTAATAAATGAGAATATGTATGAAGTGTTTGTATTAGAATGTGTGATGAGACATACCACTGTAGTCAGTATTGACTCTCACTTTTGTCCCAAACTGTTGCACCTTTGTTACTATTTCCCTTCATTTGCTTCTCAGTTGCATGCATCAAATGATGTTTGCTCTGCCTACGAGTATGCACCCTATATGCATACTTGTTTGTGTTAACTAGTGTTAATGCAAAGCGCAGAAAAAAAAATAGTAAAAGAAATTACTAAATAGTAAAAGAAATATAGCTAAATCTGGTTTACACAAGATCATTTTTTGTATCTCTCCATAACTTTATGTCCTTGCAAACCATCCTTGTTTCCACCACATCCACAAGCTGTTTCATACGTAAACCTTTGTTCATTAAATTTCTCATCTCTTCCTTCTTAAGGATATCAATCCAACACAACTTTCTTGATCCCTTTCCCTTTTTAGAAGCCAGGAGGGGCAACAATCAAATATTTTCCCAACAAAAGATTACCAGAGTTAACTTGGCAACCTCGCTTTACCTGTTGGCTGCAGCCAATCAGTACTGAGTGTCCACATCAGATCCAGAAGACTCTTGCCTATTTTGGATCTGAATACTGCACACCTCTAACAATAGGCTGCTGCTGTTGGACTGCACTTCATATCACCCCTAGTCTCTCCAACTGGGAAGTTCTTAGCACTTCTGCCCAAGACATTTCCTTCAACCCAGCTCTAAGAAAAGAGAAAGGAAGGCACATTGGATCTTTATATCCCAAACTCAGAAAACAAAACATAAACTTTGTAATTCTAAAACATAATAGCCAAGTGATTGTGTAATCTTGCCTGTAAAGATCTTAATTGAGAAATCCCCTTATACAATAAATGATACAAACCATAGAAATAGAAAAGCATTAGGAAAGAGGAAATTATAGGAAAAGGAAGACAACTATCACACACAGAACTCCAGACAAAATCAATACAGTCAGCCTGGCTAAACTGATTATTACCTTACTGAATAAGGTATTGGGGGTCAGTACATGTTCACTAAATTAACTTTGCCAATTTCTACCCTAAATTTATTTTGAATTTTGCTGCCCTTACCACACCACTGATTCCATTGGTGTTTCCCTTTAAGTTCAGCAAGCTTTAACTCACAGAGGCATTTACTTCTCAAGTGTCCTGATTCAGCCTGCCCCTTTGCTGTATGAGTTGAGGCTTTTGATTTCACCTTGCTTTAGACTGCTCCAGGAGGTTTAGGGCACCTCCCTGTGCAGTCTTTTTCCAGCAGCTGCTACAAGGCAAACAAAACTATGATATTTTTAACAAGAAACTTTGGACCATTGAGGAAGCTTTACAGAATCAGCTCCAACTCCTGGAAAACACATATTACCCCAAAAGATGATCGAATGGATCACAAACACATAGAACATCTACAGATTTCTCAGATGTAGCCTTAGTAGTGCTTGCTTAAGTGAGCTCACTTTTTTTTTTCATTTTGACTTTCAAAATCTCTTACATTCCAGACATGCTGAACAAGCAGGCCAAAGCTATTTCTTACAACCATTTCTAGCCTCTGTTTTGCACCCAGAAAATTTAGGGGGGCCTCCTCCAAGATGTGCCGTTCCCAGTAAGATTCTCTGAGCCAGAGCAGAGGGGTTTTTTTTCTTTCTTAAATGAGTAAATCTATGCTCAGCAAGAGCAGGACCCCTACATGTAGGCTAGGATGGATTATCCTCAGAGAGACCTTTTCTTTCTTCCTCACTATTTTCCTCCACAAAACAGAGTATTGCATTGCACTGAAGATGTTACCTAGCCAGGTAATGAAACCTTTGCAAGAAAACAACCAAGCTCAGAGAACCCCAAGGACTCCACGGTATTGCATTACTATGGCCAGCTATACATTCTTGTTGCCTTATGGAAGGAAGCTTTACAACTCTGTCATGACAGCTGGACATTTTGAAGTATTAAAACTACTTTGGTAATAGTTGATCTCTAAGATGGCCTACTTCATTTTCTGTCACGGCCTTCTTTCTTCCCCAAGACAGCTCATCTGTTCATTCAACAAGTTTTCTGAAACCACAGCTCGCCCAATCATTTGA